TCTGGGTTATTTTCGAGATCAAAGTGAAGTTTTCTTTGGGTTATTGCTGATTATCATAAGAGTACATGCAAATTTTAAGTCACTATAATTTTTCAAAAACCCATGAATTCATTTAAAATTTTACAGATAGCTTTTTAATAGTAATAGGAATCTACAATAACAAATTCAACATGGCAGCATCGTTTAAGTATATAGTCTATACATCCTTAAACTTGATCTTTACCCATTTTCAGTAACTATCCACTTACTTTTGTCTCCGACTGTATGTGACGTGTAGCGCAGGGTATGATAGTTAACCACAACGTATGACAACATATGGTAAGAGGTCGAATAGTTTAGTATCACAAATTGTGACACGAATTTACAGATTTTTCGACATGGCGACAGGACGCCGGACAAGAAAGAGATCTATCCGAATATGCCCCTCAATCCGATTTACGATCAACTCGGCTACGGCCAATTAATTGAGGTAAGTCCACAATTTAACAAAAGTCACTTCTCTACTTAAAAAAAAGCATAAACTAGCATTAATTTTATAATTGCTAAATTCCTCACGTTACTTCAACGAAGAATTATTAATACATTATAGCAATTATTATACCAATTCTATTGTAATAAATCTTATAACTATTATTATAGCAATTATTGTACTAATTATCACAGAAATTGTTATAGCAATTTTTATAGCAATTATTTTTTTGCGGGATTTATCCACATGCTGCCTTTCGGTACAGCAAGTGCTTTCACTCCTATCTCCTGGACCTCCAGCCCTTCCTTTCTACTTTTTCAATCACCTAGCATGCTTTACCTTTCATTGTCAGTCCTCTCTCCATCTCGCATTCGCCCAGGATGCTGCCTGTGGAGCGGGGAAAACCTTCAGTATGTAAATCCAGTGGGATAAATCCTACCTAGGAAAACCCGCCCCGAGATGGTTAGTGCTTTGGGTGTCCGTTCCCACTGGATGTCTATACCTGAGTTCCCGAGAGTCTAGGAGCGTTTCGCGCAGTTTGGAAGGTAGTGAAGGTCGCAGCGAACTCCCTCCACACGTTTCAGTATACACGGTAAAGCATTGAGATGCCCAGAACGATCAAAAATTAAACTGTGCCCGCTACTAGACTCTCTGGAACTCAGGTATAGGTCACATTTTCGTAAGGCTTAGATACCGAATTTGAATGTCTCGCACCTCCCGCTCATCTTGTTGAGTGGGGTACAACACTTAAGCGATCGCACGAAATCTCGTAGGACACGACCACAGGTGCCGACCTACCAACTCTCCAAAGCGTCGGTTTTATAGCAGTTCTCTTATAAGTGTCCCATTACCTGCACGTATGCAGGGTGTTCCGGAAAGATTGTTATAGCCGAAAATGGCAGATGAGGAGGAGCATTGTGAACAACAATGTCCTCTGGCAAAATACGAAATGGGGCTTGGTTACCGAGTTATTAACAGAAAACACGGACCAATCAGAGCGCTCGGTTGAGGCGGTCTCCGTTTCAGGAGCGCTGGCTCGGAGTCAGCCGGCCGGCTTTTCTTGCGTTTGAAGAAGCGCTCCGCTCAGTACGAAGCGTTTTAAGAAAATGACGAATAACAAACTACATGAATAACAATGCAAGGAAATTGTTGTTCGTTCGTTATTATGAATAACAATTAATACACTTAATCGTTATTAACGTGGAATGGATGGGATAGATTGTTGATAATTGATGGATGATGATAGGACAAATGAGGAATTAACAAGTCGCGGGGAATATTGAATTAAAAAGAAAATGTAAAAATTGTAGAGATTTAGACTTACCCAT